AATTTTTCTTTTCTAAACAACTTCAAATTTTTTATAAATATTAAGCAAATAAAAAGAAGTTTTAAATAGTATATAATTTTAGTTTTTATTTAAAAAAAAAAATTTTATATTTTAAAAAAATAGATCAGATATGAATTTATAAAATTTAAGCAGGCAAATTTGCTTGCTAAAACTGGACGGTTTAAGGAATACAAACCACTTCACATTAAAATTGTTGTTTTCTTATTGGCTACCCCAAAATCAACTAGCCAGGTGGATTCTAACCTTGTAGTAATATTCTTTTACTACAATTCATAAATCTGAAAAACTATATCTTTACATTGATAGTTTATCTCAAATTTAAAACAACTCACCAAAAGTTATATATTTTATCTCTCATTGCCATACCAATATCACTTACAGATACCCCATTTTTGATTTTTAACAGACACTATGAATATAGAAACATATCAAATTTTTGTAGAATACCTTAGCAGGTCTAAGGTACCCGTAACTATAATATTAAAGTATTGAAACATAAGACTTAATATTACTTCGTTCGAAGTAAATTGTTGTATAAAATAAACCCACATGACCTCAGAAGACCTCAAAGAGTCTTAAAACCTCATGAAACTAAACCTATACTATATGTCATGTATTCTAATCTGCTAGCCAGACATTTTAGTAGAGAAGGAACTTATCAATGAATAATAGTTCGATATTACTGGCCTTAGATAGAAAATGATGTGAAACAATATATTAAAGCTTGCGACACATATCAAAGACAAGGAAGGCCTAGAACCCAAGAACTATTACATCCTATAAAAGTAGGTCAGCCTTTTGACTGGGTAGGCATCAATATTGTAGAACCGCTTCCTGAAATATCTGAAGAATATCGCTATATATTTGTGGCTATGGATTATCTTACTAAATGGCTAGAGGCACGTATACTTAAAAGTGCTGATGCTAAATTTGTTGTCTCTTTTCTTTTGAATGAAATAATATACCACCATAGAAGTTCCTGAGAACTACTTTCTAATCAGGGTACTCACTTCTATAATAAACTAGTAGATACTGTTTGTAAACAAATGAAAGTTCACTATCAAACATCCATCACTTACTATTCCCAAACCAATGGATTGGTGAAAAGGTTTAACAAAATCTTATATAAGGTATTGGCCAAATATATAGAACAATATAATAGAGAATGGACTGAATTTATTTTAACAGCCCTATTTGCTTATCAGACTATGCAACACCATACTATCTAGTATAAGCTTTTCTTTTTGGTCTATAGCCATGATGCTGTCTTACTAGTCAAGACTGTAGTAGTAACATTTTCCACAGAGCCAACTACCAAAGCTGAGACTCAAGATTATCTTTTTCAAAGAATCAAATCTATTCTAGGAAATCTAGAAAAAGCCTGAAACCAAGCTAAGAAAACGTTACCATAGCCCAAAATAAACAGAAGGCTCATCATAATCAAAAATACTAAATTGAAACTTACCAAATAGGTGATAAGGTGATGCTGTATGAGACCTCTTTAGATATGTCATATAGTGCTAAGCTTGAGCTAAAGTTTACAGATCTCTACTATATACATGAAGTGTGTGGCAATAGCTCATATAAACTCAGAATAATGAAGCCTACACTAAACAATAAGCCTATTAAAAGCGAATAGGTTCTCAAGAAATGGATTAATGGGAACTAGTTAAAAAGATATATCATCGCCTATAACAATAGAATTTGTTTTCTATAAAAACCCTCTCAATAGATCTTGGGTAGAGGAATAATTCTCTCCTTTCCGGAAAAGTAAAAATAAAACTAGCATGTAGAACCCAGCATTGCTCGGGCTCTAGTTTTTAATTTTTTGCTAATTCTTAGGTCTCAATAATTATATTATATCGTTAAATCATATTATAGTATAGTCTTTTTTACTATAATGTTACATAAATTACATGACTTGATTTGAAAATAGAAACCGTTGATACGTTACAAAATCATTACACAATTGATAAATTTTTTTTAATATTATTTTACAATACTTTTTTGGAAGGCTCGCTCGGCTTATTTTTTCTATGAATATTGAAAATAGTTAAACAAACTTGAAGCTCTCACTTTGCTTTACAACATATTTTTTGAATCCCCTTGAATTACACAGTTTCATCTTTTTGTAAATTTTGCAATTTGATTGGTTGACTAATCTCATAGTGATCTTTTTGACTGGTCAATAAAATGAGTAATCAGAATGAAAATCATATCTATATTTTGATAGTTTTTTCTGTTTCCCAGGCATCACCCAGGCCCTTCAATATTCGAAATTTTGATTTGTCAATTTCGAATCTACTCAATTCGAATTATAACCAGATTCATGGTAGAGAATCCAAATTCAATTCTGATAATCCTAAGATGAATAATCAGCATTTCCAAAACCCCTTATATACTACAAAGAAGACAGCAGTCATGTCCTTATACTATAAGAACAGTTAATACAGTAAATAAAGCAACATAATCATTCTAACAGTTCTTTATAGTTAATATTAGGTTTTGTATTTTAAAATTATTCTAACATCTCTTCATCCCTATTTGAATTATTCAGATAATTCAGATCACTACGATCTAGATAATCATTAGTATTAGGATGAGAAAGTTTGTATTATAAAATCATTCTAACAGCTTTTTAAAGTTAGAATTTAATATTTTGTTTATAGATTTTTTTCTATATAGAGTATTAAAAAAAATTATTATTTTTTTGCCAATATGCCCATCACTAAGGCCAAACAAAGTAAATTTTTCATTTTGCATTACCAATTGACCCATTTTTTAATTTTTTAATTTTTTTTTTTTTAGGTTCCAATTGTGCCAATTGTTCTATTTTTGCTATTTAATTTTCCCCCTGGTATTACATGATAGAGACCTTATTTTTATGGAATTGTTTGATAGAACTGATAAAAAAAATCCGATTGCTAGCCTAATTTTCTAATTACATGTTATGTAAAGCAAAAATTAACTATGTGTGACTTTAAATGTGAATATAAATCTATTATTCGCTATAGAATTAAAAAAAAAAAATTAAAAAAATCTGACCGACTGTTGATTCTGAAATCCATGTAATTCAAAATGAAAAATTAACTTAGCATGGCCTTATACCTGTAATGGATTTTGAGAAATAGATATGGATTACTTTCAGAACAAAGATAAAATCTATCATCAACATTTACATTATTTATTTGGCTTTATAAAGTTAGGAATTAAACTTAAAATGATTAATGTATATTTATCACTACTTACATTATTTACACTACTTAGTCTTATACCAAATTAGATTTTAATTATAAAATCAAAGATTTATCCAATTATTTAATATGTAATACAAAATAATTAATGCTTTTTAATTTCAAATTATTTTAGCTCCTTTAGTTCGAATATATAAATATATATACCGAATATTTAACAATTAAGTAAAGATATCAAATTTATTCCCCATTAAATAAAAAGGTTGTTTAAAATTAAGCAATAATAATGATTACTCTATATATTTATTTAAGCAAGATTTTTATACACAATCACATTACTTTCGCCACTTGGTGGAGTTTCAAACTCTGTTTTGGCGGAGTTTGAATTTTGCCAATTTCGCAGAGATGCAAAATGGCAAAAGTCATGTGATGCTACCACTAAGGTGAACTTTAAAAATCTCTGATTAATGGAGTTATTTATGATATGCTAGTCTCTTACAAAAAAAGCAACAGGCCTTATAAAATACCCTGCATTAGCAGGGGTATTTCATGGGCCCGTTACTTTTTTTGTAATAGAGATTAGTGTATTATAAGTAGGAAGATTATGCAACTCTTAGAAGTCAACTCCAAATTCTTAAACACGCTTTCTAGATAAAAAAATTGTTCAAAAACACTAATATAGCTGAAGTTCGTATAACAGCTACTTCGATCTTCTTTTTGGATGCTCAAGGAGAATCAGTATCTTTGAAATTTTCGCAAGATATTATTACCAACCCTTTCTCTAGATCCTTGAACAATTATTCAAGAGATCTGAAGTGCACCGAGATTTCAACGTAGTCACCTGAGCCTGTACTTCAAGGGACTTGGACTGAATGACTTGATCACATTTGTGAAAAAATCCTTGACCATGAGGGAGATCAAGTCAGTCTCTTGCAATACTATTACCAGTTGGGCGAATATTTGGAGGAAACTGCAAAAGCCATCTGGAGCTTAGGGGAAGCTGTATGGAGTTCGATGGCCCTAGATGAACTTCAAAAAAGAATTGAAGGTCAGAAAGGAAAAGAGGTCTGGAGGATCGCTGCTAGAGCTTATGAGTTATATTAGACTAGAAGATTTTATAATCTCCTTGGAAATAAGTTTATTTCTGCTAACATCCTTTATAGAATGACCAAGGAAGACTTTCAATTCTTGGTAGAAAAAGCTCGGAGAATAAGGATTGAAGAGTTAAACGAGTTCCTGCCAGAAACCTTCGTGGGAGCTCAGGAATAAGGAGGGGAGTGTGTCATGGGTTTTGTGACTTAAGAAACAGGGCTTAGATTTTTTTAATTATTATTTATTTATTTATTATTTTGTTTTATATATATTTTATCTTTTATTTATCTATTTACAAGAGGGAAATGGCGGGTAACAATTGTGTACGATTGTCAACAATTGTGAGTAATTGTGAATTGGTCACAAACAATTGTGAGCGACTGTTAGCAATTGTAAGTAAATGTGGCCAAGTAAATACAATTGAAACCAAAAGGTCTTAGTAATGAAAGTTAGCCATAGCCATGGAAGTAAGAAAGAACAATAAAAGAAGGTGAAAACTATTAGGAAATGTTGTAGTATTAGGAAATTAAAATGTATTTAAAGCCCAAGTTTTATCCTTAATAAAATTTCTCTCAGACTTCGATGTCTTGGATAAAGTAGAAATCAGAATCGAATTCTCATATTTATTTGAAAAACTGTTTATTGAATGTTGTTATTGAACAACTTATTTTTATTTTATTGTTTTACTTTATTTCTTTTTGCGTTGTTATTATCCGTTACCTAGTCTTTAACCTATAACCCTAAAAACATTTACCATTGTTAACCACAAATAACCGTATTACTATTCGCCCATTTACCCAATATAGATTCGTCCCATTGTATCAAAATTACCTTCACGATATCACGCCAGCCTTAGTTACCCTTTTAGTATATCCTTAAATTACGTGCATAACCCAAACTTGGATCAATTTAGTAAGAGCCCGATCCTGATCTACGTAAATCAAGGCCCAGATTAACAAGCCTCACGTGTTTGAAAGTCGTGACGAACAATACATATAAACTCTTTCAAGTTTACTATTGGAGCTAAATTGCCCATATAATATTATCGCTCTCCCAAACAATAGTAACACCAGCTTGAATTTGCAACTAACGAACTTTCATGTAATCAATGAATATGAGGTACTGTTTATTAAATAATATGATAATCACCACTTTCATTACTCCAAATGTTAATCCCTCTTATAATAAAATTATCGTTCGTTACGAATGTCCAGAACACTTTTACCAATTATTTCTTCGTGTAAAAATGAGATATGTCGAATTATCAATTTGCAGCTACATATTTTAAAAAGGTGCAAATCGCCATCACCACATTATGGGAAATTCACTATCGCTATGTAGATCAAATGAAACGTGGTCATAATATATTTAGCAATTTTAAAAGGGTTACTTAATTTATGTTTTTTAGCGTTAGTATATATTTAACATTAAATACTTATTTTCGGGGATCGGAACTTTACAGTATATAACTTATGAAATATATAAAACTTGGCCATTTTCTATTGGTACAAATAAACTACCTAGGCAATGAATTGATTTTACATCATCCGGATTATTTGTGTTATATCCAGATGCATCATCCATGAACAAAAATTGATATCCGGATATCCGCACCTTTCTAAGATAGGATCAAGTTTAATATAAAGGACCCTACTCTAAATTCAATTGATCAATAATCAATTTTGATCAATTTTATTAGTGGGTCTCTTATACTAAACTCGATACCCCAGATATTTAACCAAACGGATCCCAACACTAGCTAAATGAAATAATTGTATTCGTGAAGAAGCTAATGTATAACATTTTAAACTACAAAAAATAGACAGCATATACAGTACAACATTGATAGTCATGCGTCTCGTTAATTAATTGAGATGAAACTTTTAGGGCTTTTTACTAATCTGGAATACTTCATATTCTTCTACAGAAAATTTTGAATATCTATCACTATTAAATGTAGATCCATTTCTAATTCGTTTTTCATATGACATTTGATAATGACAACACCCGTTATCTTGATCACAAATATTCGACAAAAATAAATCACTACCTGCGCCAAAAATTGGGCCATAGCCACTACTAACAAACCGAATTGCATT